AAATACTAATGCATGAAAATCCTAACCTCAAAAAAATCACCCGTTAGCTTAATTCACAGCTGTGTAAGATTTATCGTGATTTCCCACCAGTATGGCTTAACATCACGGTGCCCCTTACCGACTCAGGACTTGGGCGCCGGGGTTGTCATACCCGTAGGGCCGCTTACGCGGTAACCCCTTGGGCAATTTAATGCACATGTGGAACCATTCCACCTACTACTACTATGCAGTATCTCAGTTAGTACTCACTTTTTATGTTCAAAGAATTATTAAACCCAACAAAAATATTTTATAGAGGAGGTGAAAACTGCGAGTACTTCGTATATTGAACTTTTGAGAGTTTCTTGAATGCACCTCAAATCGATTTTCGTTCACCTCACTCATAATTTTAAAACTTTAACCTTCAGCTTTTGTCTTCTCTGACAACAACTTGCAAAGAGCAATGCGCAAAATAAGAACCAGAAAAAAATTTCAAAAAACAAAAATGTAAAATGTGAATTAATATGCTATCAAACACAGCAAAAGAGCGAGAGATTCTGAAAAATATGGACATTGCGCCGAAAATATGTCAACAATGCAGAAAACGGAAAATGCGAGTTGAAAGGCGGCAAATTGCAGCAGTGCGAGGCAAATCGCAATCACAATCACAATCACCGTAGAAGTCGCACTCACTCGTTCGCGTGCTAGTGTTGGTAGCAAAGCGAAAGCTGAGCAATTCATTTAAAATGCTTATATTTACAATAATATTTTTAAATAAAATATATATTTCCGTAGAGCAACTTGTTTCCTGGTTGAGGAAATGAAACGAACGAAAATGAGCGCTGGACTTGGTTGGGGGATCCTTGAGGCGAGTGGCGAATATTGTATTGTTGCAATGCAACATTTTTGTGCAATGGTTATGTACAATAGTTGTTGCTACTTTTCGGTAGGGTAATTGAATTTTATTTATTCTTATTTTCTTTTTGCACACATACACACATAGGTACAACTTGCCAGCTTGTTTCTGGGTGTACACCTTAAGTGTCATTCAAGTAGCTGGGCTGCAATGTGCATTTTTATTAGGGTGTTCGATTATTCTACCTTTTTGAAAACCGGGTTTCGTGTTATTCGAAAAAAGGTAATTTCAAAAAAACGGGTTCTTAATTTTCAATTCGGGGAAACCTGGTTAGACCGGATATTTGCTTTTCATTTTTCGCGTTAGAATAACACTCACAGTTAGTCAGAAATAAAACTAAAAATTCAATAAAACTATTAAAATTTGTTTCTAAAATTTATATATACATACATAACTATTTCAATCAATTGTTTGCTGAAATACGTATCTCCCCGATTTTAATACCATTTATTAAATCATTTAGAGAATTAAGTTCCCATTGGAATCAGAATCGGTAGAATCTAAATAAATTTTTTTATAGCTACATACCTTTTCGTTGCATTGCCTCTGAAAAATGTTATGTTTGCGGTTTTAACAAAGTAAAAAATATAATGAATATTAAGATGCAGTTGTATAAATATTCGAGATGAAAAACCTAGTTTATTCGATAACAAAACTCTGTTTTATTCGGTATTCGAAAAGTTATTATTTCAAAAAACCCGTCCAAAAATTGTTGAAAGAACCGGGTAAAACCGGTTTGGAATACCGAATCGATCTCCCTTATTTATATGTCTATATGTATGAACATTCGTTCTTGCGGCCATGTTGGAGCCACTTGAAGCTCTTCATGAATGGACTGCATTGAAATATTTGTCTATGGGGAGCGGTTTCATGCTCCAAAGAAGCTCAAAGCAGTGAGTTGGCGTGAACGGATTCAATGGCTACTAGAAACTTTATATAAATTTAAAGCTCGTAATTTGCTACGATTTTAGTTATCAATGATAGGGACCCTTCTGCATTATTTTATAACGATAATCTTAAATAAATATATTGCAAGCAAGGTGAATAGTTTGCGGTTATGCAACGTTCCCCACCAGCTAACTGGACGTAAGGAAAGTAATAAAAATGGAAGCCTACAACACTTTGTTTGAGGTAGATTCATTCAGTCACTACTGGCCGGAAAGGATTTGCAAATTTGCGTTCGCTTAGCTGACGACAGGGTTCTGTACTAGTTCACAGCTTGCACGAGGAACTCTTATATAATTCCTGTCAGGATAAATGACTGCAAGTGTGCCTTGTCTTGTGTTTCTTGCAACATCACTTTACCTTGCGACCAGGAATGCAAACAAAAATAACAATGTACCAAACATCGATGTTCTTTGTGCACCCCAATCTACAGGGATTCAACAAGACCTTTTCTAGCCATGGCAAGGAATAAAAGTTACTATTTATTATGCACAAACTTAATTGAAACGTTCTTTTTTGAAAGCGTTAATTCCCAATTTGATCAAACTGGCATACAGATTTTTGAGTACCTCGGCTATATCCGTGCCAAGCGAACGAGTTTTTTCCAAGATTGGGACAACAGTTAATCAATCTCGAAACAAATTGCAAAGAAAAGATGGAACACATTATTATTCCCAAATTCTTAAACTATGTTCACATTACAGCATCAATTACACTTAGGTCTTTGTTATGCGAATTTGAATTTATGCGATTTTTCAAACCGTTTTTTCGCTGTAGCGATTTTGCTTTTTTGAGAGTTCTTATTACTTTTTTTCGGTGTGTAAGTGACAATGCTTCTGATAGTTAGCTTGTCTTTGTATTCTTACATAATTACTGTATATCGATGGCTGAGTGGAAGATCGACCTATCTCGGCTGCTAGTTCGAAAACGCTCTATCTCAAAAAACTTTTCAAGAACGCTCTACTTCAGAATTTTATTGAAAAACACCCTATCTCAAAATTCGGTTCAAAAATGCCCTATCTCACTTCAAAATGTATTGAAAATATGCTGTTATAGGGCGTTTTTGAATCGGCAGCTGAGATAGGGCGTTTTTCAAACGAATTCTGAAATAGAGCGTTCTTGAAAAGTTTTTTGAGATAGAATGTTTTCGAACTGGCTGCCGAGATAGGTCGATCTTCCACTCAGCCATCGATATACTGTGGTATTTTTTTTTTTTTTTTGGTGGAAATACAGATACAATTTTATTTATTTAATTAATGTTCAGTTCTAAATCGTAAAAAAAGTGCTGAAGTGAAGAAATAAATTGTTTTGTTATTCTTAACATTGCCTCACTGGATTTTTTATGCATATTTTTGAAATTCTTTACATGGAGTATCTGAATTTATGCGGTTTTTGAAAATGCTGCAACGCATCCCTTGTTTTTGTATGAAATAAAGTACTTTTTTATGCGGATTCTTTTTATGCGGCTTTCTGAGGAACGCATGTACCGCATAGAGCAAACCAAAATGTACTTTGTTTCGCTCAAATTACTTCACATTAACCAAGAACGTTCACATTTTCTTTCACAATATCTATAGATATGCGCGTGCATGATTCAATAATTAAAGGTTTGCTGATTAGTGACAGTAGAGTTTTGACACTCCCTTAGCTCCCTTACAAAAGCTGATTTTGTCAAGAGGGAGCGAGAAAACTGTTTTTTGAACAAACCTTTTATTATTGAATCAGGATGCGCTTGTACGTACCATTGTGTGGTTTGTACTTGATTTACAAAAAAATTATAAAAATGGTTGCATACCTCTAGGCATTTTTTTTAAATTTCCCCAACAGTGGGGGCTAAATAAATGAAAAATCTTTTTTTTTTCTTCATTTGGTTCTTGATGTACGATAAATTATTTCATTTCTATTTAATTTATTGATACATTTTACAAAGCGAAATTATTTTATTTCAGCATGATTTTCTTATATATTACAATTGAGCCGTAAATTACGATAATTTGAACAGGGACTAAATTTCTTGTGATTAAATTCCCTTTTTTTGCGTTTTTCTTATCAAACATCGATATATTGATTTTGTTATAACGATGCATCGAAAAGTCGATGTCTTATTTTTTAAAACATTGTTTTAAAGCCATCGATGTTTTTTCTTCGATGCTGCAGCCCAAGTTTTGGGTCCCAGCCTGATTTGGTAGTACTTAAAGACGATCCGTGGAGAGGTGAGGCATTCCCCGAATTGTTTCGATTGTCCATGAGGGTATTCGCGGTCCTGATTGTGGCGGGCTCTCAGAGTAAATATCTACCTTTTTCATGGGTTTTAAAGTGCCTACACTCACCGCTTTCTGTCTCCGATCACGCCCAAGTATTTGACTTTTTCGTATAACACAAGTGGATTCTAAGTACAAGCCTTTATATAATGTGGGTAACAAGCGGAGGCTCGTCTCCTCAGGGTAAATGGCAAATCTAAGTCCAAATATTTCGCATAAGAGCATACCAAATGTCCAACACCGTTCCTCTGACGAAGAGTGATACATCGTTAGCCTGTTTTTTCCAGCTACTTCAGTACGTGGTTACAACGACCAGAGAAATGATGAAAAAACGCCACCTAGAAAGATGCCTTTAATGACTCTACGTTGAGCAGAGCCCTTGGCACATTCCGCTTTGACAGTTCTGTCGCGAAGCATGCGGACTTATTTTCCAATAAATGATTCAAAAAATAACGTGAAATAATTTTCAACAGTAATGTTACTTGGAGCTCTATGTTGGAGGAAGGGTCAAGAAAACCTCTAGTAGATTTAAAAAAAAAATGCCATTTTAGCTAAGTATTTTTAATTAAACATACCCATTGTTATTTTTCCCAAGTCTCAATTCTAATTGCAACACACACACGTGCAGTGCTAAGCCCCAACATTACATGGTCGTATGTTAATTTGTCTAATTTTGTTTCCGTTTTTCTCATTCCAGCTCCTCGGCTACTGAGTTAATATCCAGACGCGGCGTTTTCTCACGTCATCATTACGGCTCGGTGGATCAGGTAAGTGTCTAAAAAATACTCACAAATAAATACACGTACCTAGAACCAAATCAGATTGCACTCGCTTACAAACGCACCCAATCTCTCGCCCTCGGCGCAGCATTCCGTCAGGTCAATGTCGGTGAGTGAGCGCGCGCGCTCTGCAAGTAATTAATTTTAATTGTGAACATAAATGTTAACCAAGTATCACTTGTGTGAAACGTTAGCAATTTTATCGTTTTCAACAATGTTGTCCCTTGTGAAATGGCGCGCCACCAGCACCCCCAGCCATCTGTACATATGTAGCCTGCGGCGGCCACCTTGCACTGGTGTGAATTCTACGGATGCGCAAACGAAGGTCATTATTTCAGTTTTTTTTTGTGCGACCAAGAAAGAGACATTACTTTTTTTGCATTTAATTAGTGGGCTTTTGTTTGACATTTGTCGCTGCTTTTCTTCTATCGCAATTTCAGCAGCTTTTTGGAAGGGTTCGCTGAATTTTGCTAAAATCATTAAAAAGAATTGCTACTTGGCGACCGTGCCAAATATTATTTACGAGCGTAAATACATACATACATATGTATATACGCGCATATATACTTGTAAACTTGGGAAGGAGTGAAGTTAACTAGAAAATTTTAGATTCAAATCCTATTTTAAGTGGGTTACATACATACATATCTATACATAACTCTAGCGCATACGTGCATACATATGCCGTGTACATTTTGCATGTATGTACATAAATACAGGCGTGACATAGTAAACTTTTAGTCTGAATTCAAGAAGTCAAGGCTTTTGCAAAGTGAAATTGGAAGGTCGTCTGAAAATATAGCGCCAAAATTGTATTCAGCGATCGTAAACAAATTAGCAATTGGCAATAGAATAGTGAATATTTTTATTTGTATTTCAGTAATTTGTTAGTAGTTTGAATTTTATATTAGCGAGTTCTTTCTTTTAAACATCAAGAAATAATATTATTTGCAAGTAGATTCAATATATCGAGCCCAAGCCTGGAAATAACGTAAGCGATATTTGTGCAACAAAATTAAATGTTGTGAAAAAAAAATTCGCTTACGTTATTACTAACTTCACTCATACTGGATCACACATAAAGTACTTAAGTAATAGAAAGTGTTCCTCTCTTCGCGATAACACCATGCAACCATCAATTTTACACAAAAACAAATATATAAAATAAATTAAACACGTGCGTAGCTTTTAGGTGTTGCAGGAAGAAGGAATTGATTTCACTTATTTTTCGCTTATATAAGCGGAAACGCTGTATTTCAATTCGCCGCACTATGTCTATGTCTCAATTTAAGCCCAGGTTTTCCAAAAAACGATATGGCGTGATGAACCGCACTACTTTGCTCGCGATACTTACTATATTGGACGATGGGAATTTTGTTGCTTTTGTACATATTTTTCTTTTGGCTACTTTTCAAGTTTTTTCATACAATATTTGGCCGGGTGTCCACATTTTCTACACTTCTCTAGATTCTATTCACATTATCTACAGTTGAATAAATACATATCGTCACTAGACACGAATAAAGGCGCGCTAGTGTTACGATAGCAAAAAAAGACGCATAAAAAAAAAATTTTACGAAAAAAGGCGCTTAAGAAAAACTTAGGCGAAGAAAGACGCGTTATCATAGATTTATGCTTGGCCAAGGACTGTCACTTCAGCATTATTCCCCAAAAACTATTTACGGAATGTACATACTATTACACCCGCAAACATAGTTAACCCCGAAAATAAGTTTACGCGTCCTTCTTCGCCGTCAAATATTTTAACGCGTCTTTCTTCGCCGTCAACTGTGTTAAGTGACTTTCTTCGCTGAAGTTTTTATTGTGCGCGGTCAACTTTTGAGGCCGCGCCTTTATTCGTGTCTAGTGACGATATGTATCAGTTTCGTTTATAATTCTTAACGCACAAGGACGCTGTTCTTTATGTACTTTTCCAAGTAAACAAAAAAAAAAAAAACACATAAAAAAGTCCAAATTTAAGCTTGTTTCATGAAGGAGAAAAAATATATATTCCAGAAATGTTAAGTGCTAATGAATCGTCGCCAACAATTTGGAAACTGTCAATGAGGTTAAAGTTTCCTAATAAAAAACAAGCTTTTCTTTCTTTCGCATTTTTAAAGCATTGGATTGTACCACCTCTGTGCACCTCTGACCAGTACACCACTTAATTTAGCATTGATTTTATCAGCTAAAATAAATTTCGTTCCAAAAACGTTTAGCAATTCACAAGGGAAAACAAGATATTAGACTTAGTTTGTTTCAAAACACTTATGGCGATTTCCTTTGTACAAAAAATGTTGCCTTCTGATCGCCCTCTTCTTAGTGTTTGTGCGTAGAGGGCAAAGAGAAGGTTGCATTTTTCGATAGAAACGAAATCGGCATTAGTTTTATGTGCAAAATTGATTGTTCAAGCACAAACGAAGTATTAGTGCGAAACATCCCCATGATTTACATCCAATGGAAATGAAATATTCACAAGTCATCAGATAAATATTTATTTCTATTTTCATTCATCCATTTCAACACTTAACTAAACAAAGTCATATGTACTACTATGTAGTTACTACATGCGTGCATATCCGTATATACATATGTGTATGAAAATCTAAAGTTTTTTACAATTTCGTTCTACATAACTAGATATACATACATAACGCACACCGTCTTCAAAAGAGTCACAACTCAAAATTTGGCATTTTTGAGATAATGCGCTAAAAATTTACACAGAGTTTTTATTTAACTTTCAGCAAAAGCTGGAGCGAATTTTTGTTATAATTAAAAAAAAAAAATAACTAAGGTAAAGCCGCCCCTGCCAATATGATTAGCATGTGCTAAGAAATAGTTTTTCGCATTTTCTGACAAACGTATTATTTTGCGTTGTGACTTTTTTGAAAACGGTGTGCGATATGTATTTTCATGAATGATCGAACCAACATTATTTTAAAGTGCCCGTAATTTTTTATGCCAGAACTAAAATTTTATTATTTTTTTTTTTATTCGAAAAGGATGTAAAAACTTTACGTTCTAAATTTATATGCATTCTCAATTGTGCACGTTATAACACATACTTCCGGGAAAAACAAGGATGTATTTTTACTCTGTTGACGATTATATGGCGCCGTTACATAAAATTTAAATATAAATTTAAGTAGTTGATTTCGTAATGCTTCTAACATAAAACCTATGTATTTATATTATTCCCCGTAGGGAAACGCACTTAAAAATTCGAAAGCTGTACTCGTATCGATAAGTAAAGATAAAGAATAATTTGCTGCAGGAATTTCATTAAAAAAAATTATTTTTATTAAAGCAAGGAAATGTATACTAACACCAAAATTTTGATTGGTATATAACTAATTAAACTGGTTGTTTGTAAATTTCACCCAATCAAACTAGCGAAATAATCGGTACATAGGTATTTCCATATGTACATACATATATCTCTATTTAGTCAAACATGTACCCGGATGCATGTATGTAAGTTTTAATAGACCCTCATTTAATCGTAATAAAAGTTATACTATATGTATACAGTTGAAAGAAACTAAAGCGATATACATAAATACGCTCTTAATGGCGCACTGAAAAGCTGCAAGCGCTTGATAAAAATGAAATATACACAATGGCTGTGCGAAAGCACTTACTCTTACCACTTAGAGATAGGGTAAATTTTTTATTTATACAGCCAATAACTGTCACATTACGTCTAAACATAGAGGGTATTTAGAATTCACAGCATTTTAATAATCCTTCATACACCAGAGTTCGGAATGTGGCATTGCTGTCAAAAAACATGGCACGAAAGCGAATATACCTGCTGGCTGTTGTGATGTTAACAAATACATACACATTTATTTTTGTTTTTTTTTACATTAGGAGTTAATTCGTTTTGCTAGTACATTTCTTTGGAAATACTAGTTTTAGTGCTTAAATACCTATTGTTGTGCGATAGGAAGTGAAAAACTTTAGCTAGCTAACATAATCAATTAAAATTTTATTAACTCACCTATGTGAATGTTAGGGCATCACAACAGATAGCACAGTCATGTCTAAGTGGGCCTCCTCCATCTATGGAGGCAGCCCGATAACCTAACCTAACCTTACCTAAATATATGAATGTATATGGGCAAATCAAAAAACACGGGTAACTTTTGTGTTATTTATCTTCATTTCCATTGTTTTAAAATATATCAACCGTTGATTTTTGGCATTTTTTTTGTTGACTTTGTCACTAATTTTCTGCCATACAAAGTGTAATCGAAAATTTGTCTATAGGAAGAAAATTTACAACACCGTCAACAAAAAAATTGCCAAATATCAACGGTATTTTGTAGCCGCATGAAACTCGCACTTTATTGTAGTAAAATTGCATGGGCTGTGGATTTGTATGGTGTTTGCTGTAGAATGAACTATATTTTTATAAGAAAATAATTGAAATTAAATATTATTAAAATATTTGTTTTTGTTATTTTATGGCCTCTTAACAATTATATTCAACAATTTTTATTAAGCTTCAGGCCGTTTTTAACGAAAAATTTATTGTGGAAAAGCAAAAATAATTTTGAAAAATGGTAGAAGTGATAGATATTTCGGAAATCACCACATTTCCTCATAAGACTTTTTTCAGTAGGATTCGAACTGACGATCCCACTAACTCAGCCAGTTGCCTACGCACTGTGCTAAGTTCGCCTTGTAAATTATCGTTGTTTTTCCCGCTTTTTCATTTGTTAAGCCAACACAATTAAGCGCAGCTATTCCGCTACGATTCACACTTGATCATGGGGTTGTTGGTTTTGTTGGTTTTTGTTAATAATTCTATTTTTAGAATGTTTAACTTTTAGGTGTGCTCGTCCTTTTTCCCCTTGGCTGCTTTTCCACAATAAGTTTTTCATTAAAAACGGCCTCAAGCTCAATAAAAATTGTTGAATATTGTTAAAATATTCAAAACTTGTTAACATGTGGCGGTCTTAAAATCATGCAACTGAATG